AGAGAGAGAGAGAGAGAGAGAGAGAGAGAGAGAGAGAGAGAGCCCTAAAGTAGGACTAGCAATATGAACTATCAGGTGAAGAAGCTTGTGAGAACGCCCCAGTACAATCCATAGAACCCACATAAAGGTGCAAGAAGAGAAGCAATTTGAGATATTTGTCCTATGACCACACATACAGCATGGTATGCAAATGCAAACACAAATATCACACATATACTTACTCACATATAGCATAAATAAAAATAAACTCATATGATGTTGGGAGTGATTATTCCAACTACGCTATTAGCTAACATTAATAATTACAGTTTACTAGGCATTGTATTGAGTGCTTCGCATACTAATTCACTGAATGTAGAAATAATTCTAAAAGACAATATCGTTTTCATCCCTTTACAGATGCAATTGAAGCAACCAAAATACAGAGAAGTTGAGCATCAGCTTACAGGTTACCTGTGCACATGGCTGCCCAACTAGGTTTTGAATCCGGGAAGGTGATTCTATGAAATATGGCTTAATAAACAAAGCAGCAGTTGAATTGATTCTTAAATGATGAGTATAATTCGAATAGACAACAATAGTGGGAATTGTTGTATCCAGACAGGTAGAAAAATAAAAGTAAGGACATGGAGATAATATAGATTTAAAAGTAAAACTGAAGGTGATAGTACAAGATAATCAGTCTATAAGAAGAGAAATACGTTACAGTAGAAAGTGGTAGATTGCAGAGACTTAAAACGATTCTAGCATGAGGATTACTAACAAAACACAACCTTTGTTAGTAAAAATTAAAAAAAAATGGTTCTTACAGTAGGTGTCAAATTGTTTATATATTGTTAAATGAATGTTGTAAGAAACATCAAATCTAAAACCCCAGACAATTCTGCCCCAGTTTACCCAAGATTGAAAACCTTTTTAGGTGAGAGTCAATGACTGATGTGTGGATAGGTGAGAGTCACTGACTGACGTGTGGATAGGTGAGAGTCACTGACTGACGTGTGGACAGGTGAGAGTCACTGACTGACATGTGGATAGGTGAGAGTCACTGACTGACATGTGGACAGGTGAGAGTCACTGACTGACATGGACAGGTGAGAGTCACTGATTGACATGTGGATAGGTGAGAGTCACTGACTGACGTGTGGACAGGTGAGAGTCACTGACTGACATGTGGATAAACCATGGTGATTTGCTGTCACATCATCTTATTTTTCCCACTATTTATAAAAGCCAGATGATCCAATTAAAGGTATGCAAGTAGGGAGGAAGTTTCTACATCAGTACTAGCTTGATTTCTCCATGTTCCATGACTTAAGTATGTGTTGTCTTCAACAATAGGGTCTTACTGTCAAAGTTCTGGGGGTAATCAAAAGCACTGGCAATATGTTGCAATGTCTATGGAATCTCACTGGCCAACAGCTACAAAAGGAGTAACACATTCCTGTCTCTGCCCCCGCCCCCTTTAATTTTCAGATTTACTTTATGTGTTTTGCCTTCATGTATGCATGTGCACCACAGGTGTGCCTGGTATCCATGGGATCAGAAGAGGTCATGAGATCCCTTGCACAGTTATGAGACGCCATATATGTGCTAGGATCCAAAGTTAGATCCTCGATAAGAGCAGCAAGTGCTCGTAACCACTGAGCCATCTGTCTGCAGTGAGGCACTGTGTTATCTAGGAGGAGCCACCCGTCTGCAGTGAGGCACTGTGTTATCTAGGAGGGGATTGCTGTCCCATTGCAGGACCAGGACTGCTCCATTGTAACTCTTTTGTGTGTGTGCACACATATTCTAGAAAGAATCTAGAGTAGTTGCTTTCCCAAAGGTCTTCAGTGTTAGTTACCCCTCCCAGGACCTCCTCCTGTACTCTGCTCTTCCCTCCTCCATTCCATTTTAACTCTTCTTATTCCAGTACTGTCTTTTGATGCTTTACAAAAACAAGTACATCCATCCCTTCTAGCTAGACAATTAACCTAGTGATCCACAACTGGCCAAGTGCGGAGAACAAGAGAATTCTGAATGCTCAGCCTCATTGAACATAAATACATTAGTCTTCTCTCAAGACGAAGAGACCATTGCAGAGAGGGGTGGAAAGAGTGTAAGAGCCAGAGACAGTACAGAAATGAAAACATAACAGTATTTCTGGATATAGCAGAGCAGCTACACATATGAATTCACAGCAGTTGTGATGGGATGTGTGGAATATTCCCATAGACTGTGTGAATACATGTGGTTGTGACTGGTTTTATAAAGAAGCTGACTGGCCAATAGCTAAACAGGATGAGGTTAGGCAAGAGACCCAAACTAAAATTGCTGGAAGAAAAATGGCAGAGAAAAGCAAGATGGACATGTTGTACTGAGGAAAGGTATCAAGGCAGGTGGCAAAGCATAGAGAAGAAATATGGGTTAATCCAGGCAGTGGTGGTGCACAACTTTAATCCCAGCACTCAGAAGTTTGAGGCCAGCCTGGTCTACAGAGCAAGTGTTAGGACAGCCAAGGATACACAGAAAAACCCTGTATCTGAAAACCAAAAGGAAAAAAAAAAAAAAAAAAAAGGGAATATGGGTTCATTAAAATGTAAGAGTTAGCTAGTAACAAGCCTGAGCTACTGGCCGAGCACACATAATTAATATTAAGCTTCTGTGTGGTTAGTTGGGAGCAATTTGCTTGACAGGAAAACTTCACCTTCAGGGATGTGCAAGACTAGTGCCACCCCTAGAAAGACCAGATCCCAGGACCCCTACTATTGATGACTGCTGGCTGATGAGATGGGGAGACTCAGTTTTCTCTAAGTGTGTGTCCCTGTAAGTAGAGCGTGCTCCAGTGGAAACCTACACTTCGGAAAATATTTAGGAAGCACAAAATGTTTTTGGTGGGTTAAAAAGAAATACAATGTTGAATGAGTAGGACATTGTGAAGAGGATCTGGGAACAGACGGAGGATGGGGATGAATATAATCAAAACACATTGAACAGGATTCTAGAAGAACTAATACATTTTTTTAAAACTCAGTTGCAGCAAAAATAAAACTAAAGAACAAGAGAACAATTGAAGTAATAAATCTTTGATCTATATTAAAAAATTTTCCACCTAAAAAGGCATTTTAAATGGTATTTAAAAACCAACAAGTTCCCTTTACGTGTTTAATGCAGTTTTTGAAAGTCAGGAAAATCCATAAAGGTTTTGAAAAGGGCAAAGGGCTGAAAAACCAGTGTAATAACCTTGAATTGGCACCATGGCTGCCCTGAAGACATTTTTGCCTATTAGAGACCTGCACCATAACAGCAGGATGGAGAACAGAAGCTCGTCCTTGACTGTCTCCACAGAGCCGGGGCAACCATGACTACATAAAAGGAAAACACTGAAAGCTGTAACCCTGGGAAAACACATACAAATTTTCCACCCAACAACAAAGGTGACTGATCTCAGCTCCAAATAAGGATAGACAGACAGAACTGGAAGCTGACAGGATAATGATTAGAGTCCTAAGTTCTACATTTGGAGATGCTTGAAATGAGGAAATATTAACTCTGTGAGATTTACCCTTAACCCAAAACTTTTGAGAGCCACAGATAAAGGTAACAACAAACAGAATTCACACTCCAACATTATAAAATCCACAGAAAAGTAAGTAATTAGGAGTGCACTCACCAGAAGAAACAATAGCAAAATTAGAACTCCATGAATATCACATATTAGTAAGTAAGTACAGTAAGTATCCAATGTAAAAATTATAAAATCAGGAAACTAGCAAAATTAGAACTCCATGAATATCACATATTAGTAAGTAAGTACAGTTTTAAGTATCCAATGTAAAAATTATAAAATCAGGAAATTGAAATAGGACCATGGAAAGATTTATTTAAAACAAGCCAAATATAATTGAGGGTAATAAAATATATAGTTATTCAAATAAACATCAAGCAGTAAGAGACATTCCTTTAAAACAAAATTTGAAACAGTCGAGGAAAGAATTATAAATTACTAGATGATGAATGAATTTTCTTAATTTTTATTAAGTGTGATAAATGGAATTGTAGTGATTGATGATGTCATTTGTATATTCTAAAATGTAATACTTAAGATTGGGGCAAGAAAGAAGATGCCTTGATAGAGGGAGACAGTACAGGTTTGGAGAGAGGTCTGGCAGAGGGGAAATGGTAGGGGATCCACAGGAATGACCCCAACTAAGAATCCAGACAGTGGTGGAGAAGATGCCATTGATGCTCCTCCCCTATAATGAGATTGATGTCTACCTTGGTTAGCATTCCTAGAGCCTTCATCCAGCAGCTTTTCCAAGCAGAGACAGGCACCCACAGCTAAGCACTGAACCATACTCCTGGAATCCAGTTATGGAGAGGGAGGAGGGATGAACAAAGGAGCCAAGATGGTGCTAGAGAAACCCACAGAAACAGTGGGCCTGACCTACTGAGAGCATGGAGACCCTAGTCATAAAGCTGGGGAAACAGCATTGGACCAAACCAGGCCCTCTGAATGTGGGTGCCAGCTAGGAGGCCAAGGCAGTCTATAGGACCTCTAACAGTGGAGCCAATATTTATTCGTAGAGCACAAATGGACTATGGGAGCCCATCCCTATGGGGGGATACTATTGAAGCCCAGATACAAGAAGGAGGGCCTAGGCCTTCACCCAAATGATATGACAGACTTTGAAGATCCCTTGTGGAGGGCCTCACTATCCCTGGGGAGGAGTTGGGGGATGGGTGGGAGGGGGTTGGTGGGGAACATGGGAAGATGGGAGGGCGAGGGAATGGAGGGGATGGATATGTAAATATGAGTAGTAATGGAAACATTTAAATAAAAAAATAAAATAAAAAATAAAGATTTGTTTTAAAATATGTCATCAAAGAAAAAATGAATTAAGTCAATGTAGGAAAATGAGAAAAACATTAAATCTGAGTGATATGAAATTCTAAAAGTAAAAATGAAATGAAAATTCAATGGATACTAGATACATTACTGAAATATTAAGTACAGACAAAGACATTTTGAGTACGGGAAGATGGCTCTGAAGTGAGTCCAGATTGACTGTAAAATCTTACACCAACAGGCAAACCAAAGCTCACCTTCTTTTGGGCTGACAGCAGCAGGAAGGCTGTTCCAGTCAAGGGTCCAAGAGGGACAAGGGTGCGGAGAAAACATTGCTTCAATGCCTGTTTCCTAGAAAAGGAAGTAAGCTTTCCAAGTTAGTTCACCAATAAAATCCCGTTTTCAAAGACCACAGTTCTATTTTTTTTATACTAACAAAAGATAACTAAAATTAATCATGTGTGCCAAATATTTAGTTACATAAAAAATACAGAATGTTTTAAAAAATATAAAATATCTGTTCAAAATGTTATTTTGAAATCAGTATATTCCTATTACTTTTTAATTAGTAAAAAGTAATGCTGAAAATATGTGAAAGTAATAAGCCAATAAATATACTAGGTAGGGACTAGAGAAACGGCTCAGGAGTTAAAAGCATGTGTTCCTCTTGCAGAGAACCTGGGTTTGGTTCCCAGCACCCACATGTAGTTCACAACCACCCTTAACATGAGTTACAGGGAATCCAATGTCTTCTGACTTCCGCTGGCACTAGGCAAGCATGTGGTACACATACACGCATGCACATACATACAAAACACCATACACATAAACAAATAATACATATGGTACAATAGAGAAAAGTCACTTGAAAACAAAGTAAGTTTATCAAAATAAATTTATAGAGATTATTAAAAAAACTGTGACCTTCCATTGTCCATCAATGTCTATCTTTATACATGACAACCACTTATTTAACCTACCAGCTATACTTACTGTACCTAAAAGATGCTAACATAACTCATAACCCAGAACATCACTCTATCATTTTATCTGATGATAGTCTCTCTAATAGATAGAAAAACTTTTTAAAATTCATTAAATTGTCTTTCATTGTTCTTTCCTGTGTTAGAAATTATGCATCTAAACCTTAGCATGGTGAAACACTGCTTCAATCCCAACACTTGGATCAGGAAATGAAGGCTAACCTGAGTTACATAAGATCCATCTCGAACCAACCAAACAACAACCAAAAGTTTTAAATTTTATAATTTGTTCTATAGACAGTGGCATAACAAATATATGGATTTATAGTCTTCCAATCACAACTTGTGAGTCCATATCCACTGTTCAGATATCACCTCTAGGAAGCCTGTTTAAAGACAATTTATAGTCAGGGAAAATGGTGTATATCTGTAAGTCTCAGCACTACAAAGTCTGAAGTGAGAGAACCACTTGAGCCCAAAAGTCAAGCCAGAGTAGGCAACATTAAAAACCCTCATCTTTCCCAAGAGAAAATAAAACATAAGAGAGCAGGTAAAATACAATAAAAATTGCTGATAATTCACCTTTAACTATCTTATAACAGTTATTCATGAGATCACTTTCCATTATGAATACTAATTGAATTTGGGTCCTCCAAAAAAGTGAACAATCATTTTACTAGGGAAACAGGTATAACTATAGATCTAGAAATCGAGTACTCACTTATTTCCAGAAGAATAAGCAACACATCTCTCTGAAATCACCTATGGCATTTCTATTGCCTTTACTCTGAGTTTGTTATTACCCATTTCCAATCTTATTCCTACTTTAGGGTCTTTTAAAAAAAAAACTATATTGAGATACTACTTGTACACACACAAAAAAATGTACCATCCTCAAGTATACACACTTTGGAAAGTAAATTGAGGTAAATATTTTTGTATTTTTTTAATCTTTAAATTTAATTTAATGATTTATTTAAATTCTATTTCTTTAAATTTAACTTTAAATCATCATCTTAAATTTAAAGACTGCAACCTCCCACAACAATACAGGTTACTGCTATTGCTATTGCAATTTGGCTACTTCCCAGAACTTAATGGCAAGACCGGATTGTTGAAGACACCACACATTTCAGAGACAGGAAGTAAGCTAGAACTGACCTGGAAGCCTCCTCCCTGAGGATTATCTTTGATAGTATCTGTAGTTACCATGCAAGCTACCAAGGAAGAAAAGCAATCAACAGTTCTACTTAGCTGTAAAGGCCATGAACCACAAAAATGACCAGCATGAAAGATACTCACAAAAATACAATAGTGTTGTCTTTCTCTTGTAGTTAGTCAATAGCTATCTAATTGGATTTAAGGCCTGCTCATTGGTAGAGAATTCAATCCTAGGACTATAAACATAGCCCACTACCGGTGTCTAGAGGTCATGGACTCTATAAGAGAACCCACTACTGCCTAACTGAATTCTAAATACTTACCCTTAAATCCACAGATAAGGGTAGCCTCATCCCTAATCAAAAATGCTTCTGTTTGCAGCAGATGAAGGCTATTACAGAAATCCACAACTGGTCAAAATACAAAGAGTAAGAGTTTATTGTGTGTCCAACCTCAGTTGATATTAACTACAACACAAGGCCTAAGTCTCAGAAAATGTTGAAGAAGGTACAGACTGTAAAATCCAGGGGCCTAATATGTTCTCTTCAAGATAGTATCTTCTATATATGGTAAAGAAAGTGCTCCCATGAAATCGTCAAGCCAACCTCAGATGGGGGAAATACCACAAGGCCCTTTCCCTAGACGAAAATCTACACACAGTTATGGCTGCTGCAAGAGAAAGGGAGAATCAGTTTTCCCCAGGAGCAAATTCCCTGATAGGTTATCCAATCCTAAGTGGGCACCCTAAATGCATACATATACGAGCAACACTGAATGGATTCATTGGGCTTTTGTTTTATTTTTATTTATTTATTTATTTGTATGTGTGTGTACACGAAGGCGAGGATGTAATATCACTAAGCCCAAGATGCTTATTGGGGAACAATTACATAGAAAAATACAAAGAACCACTGGAGCGTTTCCCAGGGCTCCCTACCAAATCCGCTGACCCTCCAGAAAGAGTATACCAAGGAAAACCACGCCTCAAGTGTCTCAAACTCCTCTTGTACTGCTTCTATCTGCCTGAGGCCATGCCCAAAGATGTGTGGTTACAAGTTCACTGACAAGACGACTACGTGTGTGTGTGTAAAATAAGAATAATTAAAGGCCATGAATTTGAGAATCGGAGTGACACAGAAAAAATTGGAGAAGAAAGAGGGAAGGTAAAAATGATATAAATACAGTACTCATGTAAAAAAATCCTCAAAAAAATTAGAATTAAAAAAGTAATAAAATCATGACACTTGTATGAAAATAGATAAAGATTATGCTGTTAATCTCATAAATCAGACTAAAAAGCATTAACTCAATAAATAACTAAAATAAAGACTGAAATCAAAGTTCTCTAACACAGCAAGCTTGATTAAAATGATACCCTTGACCAGATATGATGTTACATTGCTCTACAATGTAAATATTTAAGCATGTTTAAAAAAAATACTACTTTTAAACTATGCATTTTGACTTAGTTTCAAAGACAAATGGCCTTAAAATTATTCAATTTATTGTGATTTATTTGAACACAAAAATAGCAGAAGCATTATTTGATAAATAATGATACGAATAGCTAGAAAAATGTGTAATAGACGATATCAGAAAATGGTTACTAGTTGGGAAAGAATGCTCAAAGGGACTTTAAAAAAAAAACAAAAAACTAATAAACAAGCTAAATACCGTTAACTTGGTCATGGTTGGTCTTGGTCCTCCTGTAAATAAAGGGTCACTTGGTTCCTCTACAGCTGTCACTTCATCAGAGTTCAGGTGTGGTTTACTTTCAGAATTCAGCAATTCTGGTAAACACAGGAAGTGGATCCCCCACTTGGAAGCTGCTGTCTTTACTTTTGGCACTTCCTGAATCCTCTGATACCAAGAGGTTAGCAGGGGAAACTGCTCCAGCTTCTCATAATATTTCTTGCAGATAATTACCTGGGAAAGAAAAAAATTTTTAAAATATTTATTTTTAACTTTGTATCAGTAGCAATGAAGTATTGCATATCATAAAACTCACACATCCCAAAGGTACAATTCAAATGAACTTTGGGAAATTCTAAAGACTATACAACTATCACCTCGATCCAGCTCTAAGACACCACAACACTGACAATTTGCAGAACACTTCTGCACTCACAAGCAGTTGCAGGTAGCCAGTGATTGGTTTTCTGTTTGTAATGCTGCCTTTCATGTAAGTTAATACCATCATAAAAAAACATTTGTCTTTTATCACTTAGCATTATGTCTCCAACACTGACTCATATTTGTTCATCAGTACTTTGCTCTCCTTATTAGTAGCAGCAGTCATTGTGAAGAGCCAGTCTCCTGCACTTAACTGATAATTCAGTAGTTGATGGACACTGGCATGTTTCTAGATATTGGTTTATCATGAAGAGAACTGGTAGGTTGAAACTACAGAATTATCTCCATGATGGCCATACCATTTTATATTCTCACTATGGAGATTACCATTACTTCATATATATTTTAATTTTTATGTATGATGTCTTAATGATACAAGTGTTTGAGTTCAGGCACTTGACTATTACCCATGGCAGTATGTAAAGGTCAGAGGACAAACACAGAAAAATACTTTCTCTTTCGTAAGCTCCTAACTCCCAAATAATGAAGACCAAAGATGGTGAGATTACTCAAATGTCAAAAGATTTCCAAGTTGTACATTAAAAAGGAATCAATGACCATGCAGAGCACTCAACTGAGCAGATGAACAAGGCAAGAAAATCAATTCAGGATCCAGACAAGAAAGTAACCAAAGTAAATGAAATTGTAAATAACTTGGGAGAAGAAAAAAAAAATATCAGTAAGGAAATTGAGACTCTGAACAAGAACTAAATTATTGAAATAAAAGGATCAGTTTATCAAATAAAAACATAGTTGAAAGCTTCTTTGAGGGGGCTAAAGAGAGTTTAGTGGATAAAGTGCTTGTTACACAAGCAGGAAAACAACACACACACACACACACACACACACACACACACACACACACAGCACGTGCACACACATCATCATCAAGAAGAAACAAGACAAAGAGAGAGAACAGATTTCAGGGACAGAGAAAAAGTCATAACAATAATAAATTCAGATGTACAGATGTCACCAAAACTTTCAAGATACATTCATGAGACTGAACCCAAGGAAAAGCTGAGACAAAACATAAATGCATCGGCAATTTATTCAATAAAATTGTAACAGATAGACACAAGAAAGGGATAGACATCCAAATCAAGATGCATTTATAGGTCCTTAATAGTTATGGCCAGAAAAGAATCTCTATATAAAATATCATAGTCAAAATGTCCAAAAATACAAAGCAAAGCATCAATGTTAAAAGCTGTAAGGGGAAAATGCCAACTCACATACAGAGGTGGAAACATCAAAATAATGAGCAATTCTTAAAGCCAAGAAAACATGGAATGATCTATTTCAAGCCCCAAAAGTCAGTTAACTGTCAACCTGGATTTCTATAAATAGCAAGATTATCTTTTAGAATGAAAGGAGAAATAAAAGCAGTTCAAGAAAAGCACAAATTAGAGCAATTCATGTCAGCCACACCAGCACTGGAGAAAATTCTTTAAGTAACACTATAAACAGAAGAGAAAGAACGACAATTTCACATAAAACATGTAGGAAAGAACAATCTATGAAAGCAACAGAAGAATGAAGGACTGTATGAAATTAATTGTGCCTAACACAGAAGAGAAGAAAACAAGTAACAATAATCCAACCAACCAGAACCACCAAACCACATCACAGGAAGTAACAAATCTCTCTCAATAATGACTTTATTTGCAAATGGATTCACCAGTTAAAAAGATACAGACTAACTTACTGCATTTAAAACAAACAAAACAGTATCTAAATACTTTCTTTTTTTTCTAAGAAATACACTTAGCCAGCAAAAATGTCCAAAAGCTGAGTCAAAGGATGCAAGTTAACCTACTAAGCAAATAAAAGCAGTAAGAGAGCTTGCAAGAGGGTTTTCACATCTGCTAATGTAGACTTCAAAGCAAAATGGAGCAGAAGAGATAAGGAGGACAACTACATGTTAATACAGACAACAATCCATCAAGAAGACATATCAATTCTAAGTATTTTTGGAACTGAATCTTAGAGCTTTCAGTTTCATAAAACCACGAAGGGCACCAAAGGCTTCAAAGGTCCTGATACAATAATAGTTGGAGACTTCAATATCCTGTTAGATAGATATTCCAAACTAATAACCAGCAAAGAAACATTAAAGCTAAATTACACTACTATAGCTCAACTGTTTCAACAGATAGCTACATAATATTCCATCTAACAAACACATATTCTTCCCCGGGGTGCATGGAACCTACTCTGAAATTGATCACATTATAGACCACAAGGCAAGATCCCACAAATACAATAAGGAAAAAAAATGTATCTCATCAGACTAGAGTGAAATAAAACTAGAAGGCAACTGCAAAAGAAATCTCAGAATCTACACAAAGACAATGGAGCCTAAACAATACACATTCAATGAACAGGGCCATTGAGGTAAAACTAGAAGGCAACTGCAAAAGAAATCTCAGAATCTACACAAAGACACATTACACATTACACATTCAATGAACAGGGCCATTGAGAAATCTGGAAGGATATTTAAAAAGTTCTAGGAGCAAATGAAAACATAACACATTCAGCCAGAATCCCCTGAGATTTTCCTAAAAGGAAAGCTTACAGCTCATAAAAAAGTCACAGAGATCTCAGATACCCTAATCATCCAACCCAAGATTCTATAAAAAGAAGCTAAACTAAAATGCATTAGATGGTTCTTAAAAGGATAGCAAGATGAACAAATCCTTAGCCAAACTAACCAAAAGAGAGCAACAAAACAAAACAAGAGGTGAAAGGGGAGTTGTTGTAAGAACAGCAATCAACAATCCTCCAAGCCAGATGATCATTAGGTAATACTATGAAAACATATCTTCCAAAAAGCTGGAAAATCTAGAAGAAATGGGTTTCTATATTCATATGACTATCAAAATTAAAAAAGAGAGAAACAATTTTAAAAGATCAAAACAAGCAAAGGGGTTAAAACAGTATCTTAGTTAGGTTTTTATTGCTTTGATAAAGCATCATAATCAAGGCAGCTTATAAAAGACAACATTTATTTCTTTGGCTTATGGTTTCAGGGTTAGGGTTGAGACTAGAGCAAAGGCAGGGCAGCAGGAACAGCTGGAGCAGCAGCTGAGAGCTCACATCTTGACTAGCAAATAGGAAGCAGAAAGAAAGAGAGCAGGAACTGGGAATTGTGCAAGTCTTTTGAAACCTCCAAGCCTACCCCTAGTGACACACCTCCTTCAACAAGGCCACACCTCCTAACCATTCCCAAACAGTTCCACCAACTGAGGACCAAATTTTCAATTATGAGTCTTTGGGAACCATCCTCATTGAAACCACCACAGACAGTAATGAAAAGTATCCCCACAAAGTACAGCCTTGCATCAGATAGATTTCCTGACGAATTCTACCCAATTTTAAGGAAGATCTAACAACCAGTATTTCTCAATTTGTCCCACAAAGTACAAAATAAAAGAATGCTACAAAGGCAGTTTTAATCTGGTATCAGCACTGAATAAAGACACAACAGAAAAAAGAAAACTATAGACAAATTTCCCTAATAAACATAGATGCAAAACCCCTCAATAAAATGCTTGCAGTTGAATTCAAGAACACAGTAAGACCATACATGATATCATGCTGGTTGCATCTCAAGAATGCAAAGTTGGCACAACATATACAGAGCAATAAATGAAATGAGCCATAAAAATGTAACTAAAAAAGATTATATGGTTGCCTTGATAGATGCAGAAAAGGTATCTGACAAAGTTCAGCACGCCTTCATGATAAGTTCTAAAGAATTCTAAAGTTGGGAATACTTGGAATATACCTAAGCATAAAAATAACTACATATGGCAAACAAGAATTCTAAAGTTGGGAATACTTGGAATATACCTAAGCATAAAAATAAATAACTACATATGGCAAATCCACAGACAATATTACATCAATTCAGGAAAGATTGAGGAGACATTTCCTATAAAATCTAGAATGAGACAAGGGCGCCAACTCTCCCCACTCTTTTCAATATAGTCTTGGAAGTCTTAACTAGAACTGGGGCTGAAAAGATATATAATCAGGATATAAACAGGAACAGAAGGAGTCAAATTATCCCTATTTGTTACATAGCTCTATATTTAAAATACTCTATGGACTTCACCAGGAAACTTTTATATATGATAAACACTTTTTAGTAAAGCTGTAGGATAAAAAATCAACATGCAAAAATCAGTTACTTTTTTTATTTGTTAATAAGAAACTTAATGAAAGAGAAATTAGGGAAAATATCCCATTCCCAGTAAATTAAATTTTATTGAAAATAAAACAAGAAATTTCACCCAGACAATGAAAGACCTCTACACTGAAAACTTTAAGACATGGAAGAAGAAACTGAAGACACCAGAAGATAGAAACACCTTCCACACTCCTGCACTGGCAGAATTAAAATTGCAAAAACATGGCAGGCAAGATGGCTCAAAGGGTGAAAGTGCTTGCCATACAAACTGAAGGATTTTTCAGTTTGATACTTAGAATAAAATAGCTATAAAAGTTTATCTATAATCAGTACAAATCTCATTTTCAAAAACCCAATGATATTCTTCACAAACTAGCAAAAGAAAAAAAATCTTAAAATCCATATGGAAACACAAAAGATCACATGTAGCCAAAGAATCCTAAACAGAAAAAGCAATGCTGGAAGCAGGACAATATCTGCCCTTAAATTACATTACAAAGCAGTAGAGATAAAGAGACTAGACGCCGGCACAAAAACATGCATCCAGACAAATGCAGCACAAGAGAGGACCCAGAAACAGAAACCAGGTAGTGAT